TCACCTGAAAAGGGGCTTGTGCAGTGAGTATGTTCGCATGGGAAAGCAGTACCTCTTTCAAAGGTATCGATAAGCTCGCCAAGCGGAACCTCAGAGCTGGAAAAACTTGCAGAGCTGGAATCGGCCGGGGCTGGCACGAGTGGAGAGGCTGCATTCAAAGGCGGTGTCATCCATACTTCTCCACCACAAAAGTTGCCCAGTGAGACTGAAAAGTTCGTGCTGCCTGGCTGGTTACCAGCATCAGTATGTAAAAGCGTGCGAACATTGTGGCTCACACAAATCGATGACCATGTGCCTTCCGGGAAAAGCAGAGAAAGAAACGAGTTCAAAAAGCGCACAATATCGGAGAATTGTTCTGTACGCTGAAAGATGCCCATGCGTCTGCCGTCGTCGAAACCGAAGGCACCGAGGTTGAAGTAAGCGTCAGCCTGAGCAATTGCCGAGTCCTGAGCGGATTGTCTCGTGTCGGCTTCGGAAAAGTATTCCTCCAGAAGCGCCAAGCAAGTGGAGAAACTATAGTCGCTCGAAGACATGGCAAGAGAAGCTGCTGAGCTGGTTCGTGCAGCGATCTCTGGCTGAGGCCTGAGCTTTCCTTGTGCACCTGCCGGGCGAGCGGGTACACAAAGCGGGACCTGCTGTACCACCTCAGTTGACTCCCGCGGGTCACCGAAGCGGGTGTCCTAGTGCGGCGTGCTGACGTGCTGGGAGGCCGGGTGTTTGCCTCCGCACGCCGATCCATCAGGTTTGGGAACTGCACACCTGTGAAGATAGCGGCAAGTGGAGGGATCTTTACACTGACCCTGCTGGTAGCGCATGCAAAGCGTGTGTTGCTTGCCCTCCATGAAGAGGGTGGACAGCCACTTGCCGGGGCTAGAACCAGGGCCTTTCTTGCCCTTGCCCCCTCGCGCGGACCGATCAGGAGCGTCCTCGTGCTGCGACTGTTGATCGCCCTTGCCCTTGCCATTCTTGCCGCTGCCTCGAAAGTTGGGACGGTTGCCTTTGCCATCGTGACGAGGCTTCCACGTTTCTTTAAGCTGGAAGAGATGCTTGGGTACATGTGCCCGCGGCGCAAGGAGCGTGCTTAGGTCTGCGCGTACCTGGGTGACCTCGTGAAGGGCATCATCCAACTTCCAAGCATGAACGTTCACAAGCTCTGAGATCAGCTCCCAGGCACGCTTGTCTGCAGCCTGTGCTTCAAGCGAAGTGGGCCCACGCAAGTTGGAGGCTGACTCATACCTGACAAAGCATAGTTTCAAGAACTTCTTCTGGTAGAGCTTGAGCGAGCCCAAATGAGCCCCCCGACAGAGTGCTATGCTGTTCGTAGCCAGTGTGAGGAGCTGATTAATGAGATTGAATGAAGCTGGGCCATCATGTATGTCCCGCGATGGGGCTTCGTCCAAAAGCAGATCACTCAACTCTGTCAAGCGGGGGAGTTTCTTCGGACGAATCAAAAGATTATCGTCCTGGGCCTTGGCGCTCAAGCGGAATTTCCAGGGAAGCCATCTTATTTCCTTGTCAGAAACCATTTTGGATGTAAGGGCCAGCAAGCGGGCGCTGGGGAAGCAGTCACTATCCAGCAGCTCAGTGGGATAGTCGTCTTCAAAGCGTTTGCGGAGCTCAGCGGTGCGCTCTGCGCTGAGTTTGGCTGGCCATGCTTCCTGCCAGGTAGTGCCCGTGTTGGCCGAGGGCGGAGCTGGGGCACTGACTGATGGTGCTGACGGCTGAGCTGGATTCCTCGACTCGTCAAGTGGGGGAAGTTCACAGCTCACTCGGCACTTGCTGAAAAGCAAGCGGATGGATGCCCTGGCGAGAATCTGGTCCCCCAAAGCTGAGGTGCCTGAGGCCTCCATGAGGTGGTTGATGAGTGCCGCCAGCTCCTCCTGGTTGTTGCAGGACCTAGCAAAGAGGGGAGCATCATACTGTGCAAGAGCTTCACGGATATTGTCGGGGATGCTTGACTCCACCATAAGTGAGAAAAACTCCGTCGACATGTTGACCTGGGTCCAAAAGCGACAGAACGGAGTGTGGAAAGTGACAGAAATCAGAGCCCGCCTCGCACAGGAAGGGTACCTGAGTGAGTAGCGCGTGTGAGCGAAGGAGCGAAGAAACGAGAGATGGAAATATGAGCCTGAGGCGGGCTGTGTCAGCGACGAGCTTCCCTCCGCGGCTGAGTAAAGCGTTGCTCGAGCCGTGGGAAGCGGGGATGAGCTCTGTGAAAAAGCGGGCAAAGCGTGCCAGACGTGAGGCATATGAGCGACAACAAAACAGAAAGAGCAGCTTGAGCTCCCTTGTTTTCCAAGCGGGAAGCGGTCCCGAGATCTTTAAGCGCCGGCAATAAAGCGATGCCATGCGCGATTCCAGCTGCCTATTCTACATGAATGTACGGCAGCAAAGCCTAAGCGGGTTGGCTACTGATGCCAGCCTTGCTGCCAGCCTTC